GCCACGCCCCTTTTCTCGGGCTCATACAAAGCTAATTACACAAGTCTTTCCTCTTCTAGCATCTTGCCAGACCCCTTTTCTCAGGCCCATGCAAAACCAATTACACGAGTCTTTTCTCTTCTGGGCATCTTGCCAGACCCCTTTCCTCAGGCTCATTCAAAGCGTATTACAGAAGTCTTTTCATCCGTTTTCATTGGTAGATTGCAGACCTTCCCCCCACTCAAAACGCGATGTCCCCATCGCGCGACTGATTCTCACTCGGAGGTATGCAGACCTTTGGTCCGCCGACCGCAGTCAAGGACACAAGCCCATCCGCTTCACAAGGGAAGAGTGATCAGTTCCTCCCCAGCGGGTGACGCCTCATCCTCCTACTCGATCGGACCTTTTACTATTACGTAGCGAGCACCAATACTGAGGTTCCTCTTCACTTCTGACAGGTAGGTCCAGTCTAAGCCTCCGAGGGCCTCGTCTAGCCGTAAGAACTTCCCTCGCGAATCGTTCCTCCCGAGTGGTAATTTTTTGGATCTGGCCTCTTCCTTTCAAGAGAGTTGGGGCTCTCTATTAGTTCATGAGTGCAGTTACGAAGACCTCGCAATTAGTTCCGAAACGGTTGCAATGTTTCGGCAGGGCAGTGCCAATGCCTCGTGGTGGTGGTAGACTTCACCCGGTACCTCGCCCGGCCCCTCCCCTTGGACAGTGCCGCCCAACTTAGTGCGGGCAGCCGAGGTCCGACCCAAACGGCCATGCCACCCCTCTATGATATGGCGTGTGGTTGGAGAGTAGCGAAATAGACTAGAATAAGAATGACTCTCTCGCCCGTTTGATTCTCTCACCCTTTGACGTTTAGGCTCTCAACATGAGGCGCAATTTGAACTCCCCGACTAGAGCTCATTGTCGGGGTCAGTTCCGGACGGCCCGCACCGATCCAAGGGATAGGTACCTTGGTCCTTTAACCTTCATCTCTTTCTTATGAGGGACAGGTCGCACTGAGACTTTTTCCCTCTAAGGGATAGAGGTCTTGAGGTCGCAGTGCAAGCAACGGTACTCCCCTCTTGCTG